CTTGAGGGAGTAATTGAAGATGTGTTGCTGCAAATTGGAAAATTTATCTTCCCCGCGGACTTCATTATCCTAGATTACGAGGCTAACAAACTGGTCCCAATCATATTGGGGCGACCTCTCTTGGCTACTGGTGATGCCATTATCAAAGTGAGAGAGGGAAAAAGATTTTGAGGGTGGATGACGAAGAAGCAGTCTTTAATGTCTACAAAGCAATCCAACTTCCCCGCCACTATGAGGAGCTCTCAATGATATCTGTTGTTCAGGCGGGTGAGCAGATTCTTGACACGGGTGTATATCTAGACGATTCTCTGAAGAAAGCACTTATTTTGTTTGATAGCTTGGGAATTGATGATGAGGTTGAGGAGATGATGCACATCCTAGATACATCTTGTGCTTACATGTAGGGGATACACCCCTTCGAGCCCTTGAACAGGCCAGATGGGCCACCTCCAAAACCGTCAATTGAGGAGGCTCCAAAATTGGAGCTTAAACCTCTACCACCTCATCTTCAGTATGCTTATTTGGGTGACTCTGACACTTTACCTGTTATTGTTTCTTCTGAATTGTCTAAACTGCAGGAAGAGAAGCTGTTGAGAGTGCTACGTGAGCACAAGCGATCACTTGGGTGGACAATCTCTGACATTAAAGGCATTAGTCCAGCTTTTTGCATGCATAAAATCCTCATGGAGGACGGACACAAGCCAAGTGTAGAGCAACAACGCCGACTAAATCCAATCATGAAAGAAGTGGTAATAAAAGAAGTGATTAAGTGGCTTGATGCAGGTATTGTATTTCCAATCTCAGATAGCAAATGGGTAAGCCCCGTTCAATGTGTACCTAAGAAGGGGGGGATGACTGTGGTTGTTAATGAAAATAATAATTTGATTCCCACAAGAACTGTCACTGGGTGGAGGATTTGTATAGATTACAGAAAATTGAATAATGCCACCCGAAAGGACCACTTCCCTCTCCCCTTTATTGACCAAATGCTTGATAGATTAGCTGGCCAGGAATACTATTGTTTCCTAGATGGTTACTCAGGGTATAATCAGATTGCTATAGCCCCAGAGGACCAAGAGAAAATCACATTTACGTGTCCGTATGGCACGTATGCGTTCAAGAGAATGCCCTTTGGTCTCTGTAATGCACCTGCGACTTTTCAAAGGTGTATGATGGCTATTTTTACTGATATGGTTGAAAGATTTGTAGAAGTGTTCATGGATGATTTTTCCGTGTTTGGGTGCTCTTTTGATAACTGTTTAATGAATCTGGATAAAGTACTTGCTAGATGTGAAGAGACGAACCTGGTGCTAAAATGGGAAAAGTGCCACTTCATGGTACGTGAAGGTATAGTTTTGGGGCACAAGGTGTCCAAAAATGGTTTGCAGGTGGACAAAGCAAAGGTGGAAGCAATTGAAAAATTGCCCCCACCAACGTCCATCAAAGGCATCCGCAGTTTCTTGGGCCATGCAGGTTTTTATCGACGTTTCATTAAAGACTTTTCGAAAATTTCCTCTCCCTTGTGCAGGTTGCTTGAGAAAGATGTCTCCTTCAAGTTCAATGATGCCTGTCTGAAAGCATTTGAGGAGCTGAAGGGGAGGCTAGTGACTGCTCCAATTATCATTGCTCCTGATTGGGGACAGCCATTTGAGTTGATGTGCGATTCGAGTGACATAGCTATTGGGGCTGTTCTGGGGCAAAGGAGAAATAAAATCTTTCACTCCATCTACTATGCGAGCAAAACTCTGAATCCAGCCCAGATGAACTACACAGTTACTGAAAAGAGTTGCTTGCAGTGGTGTGGGCGTTTGACAAGTTCAGATCCTATCTAGTGGGAACCAAAGTCATCGTTTACACAGATCATTCAGCTATCAGATACTTGTTTGAGAAGAAAGACGCCAAGCCGAGGCTAATTCGTTGGGGCAAGAGTTTGACTTAGAAATCCGAGATCGAAAGGGAACAGAGAACCAAGTGGCTGATCACTTGTCCAGATTAGAAAATCGGAGCCATGTAGCTGAAGGTGGGTCAATCAAAGAAACATTCCCTGATGAGCAGATATTGACAATCACCTCAAGTGAAGCCCCGTGGTATGCAGATTATGTGAATTTCATTGCAAGGGAATTGACACCCGATAATAGAAGAAGTTTCCTACATGATGTGAGGCTCTACATGTGGGATGAGCCATTCCTATACCGGCTATGCGCAGATCAGTTGGTGCGAAGATGTGTTCCAGAGGAAGAGATGAATGCAATATTGCATGACTGTCACGCGTCACCATACGGAGGATATCACGGGGGAGATAGGATTGCCCAGAAGTTCTACAATCAGGTTTCTATTGGCCTAAATTGTTTAAGGATGCACATGCCTTTGTTAAAATGTGTGATAGATGCCAAAGAACCGTAACAATCACCAAGAGGCATGAGATGCCTTTGCAGAATATTCTAGCAGTACAACTTTTCGATGTTTGTCACAGGTACATCTTGGTGGCAGTCGATTATGTGTCTAAGTGGGTGGAGGCCATTGCTCTTCCCACGAATGACGCAAAGGTAGTGGTGAGTTTTGTAAAGAAGCACATCTTCACACGCTTTGGAACTCCACGAGTGTTGATAAGTGACGGAGGAACGCACTTTTGCAACAAATTGCTGAAAAATACCCTTGCAAAATACGGTGTCGAGCACAAGGTTTCCACGGCCTATCATCCCCAAACGAGTGGTCCAGTGGAAGTGTCAAACAGAGAGGTGAAGCAGATTCTGGAGAAAACAGTGAGTGGAAATAGAAAGGACTGGGCTGGAAAGCTTGACGATGCATTATGGGCATATCGAACTGCATACAAAACCCCCATAGGTACTTCTTCGTATAAATTAGTTTATGGGAAGGCATGTCACCTACCCGTCGAGCTTGAACACAAGGCTTATTGGGCAATTAAAAAGCTGAATATGGATATAGAGTTAGCTGGAGAGAAGAGGTTGCTACAACTCGACGAGCTTGATGAGTTTCGATTGCACGCCTATGAAAATGCCAAATTGTATAAAGAGAAGACTAAGAGGTGGCATGACAAACGCATCCAACATCGAGAGTTTAAGCCGGGGCATGAA